CTGTGCTCGTTTCCGGCCCATTCCTCAGATCCCCACCACCAACAGGGCCAAAGGGCCAGCTTGTTTCGGTGTGCCTCGGTGAGAATGCACTGGTGCTCGGACCAAGCTTAGGTACTGCCCGAACTGGCTTCGAGGCTCCTTCCTTCCGAGGATGGAAGAAGTTCAGGGTTCCCGCTAGCAGCATCGCTGCGGCCAATCGAGCACGGGAGCACCCTTCCACACCACATGCCTCTTAGTCAAGTTCATGAGACAGAATACTAGTGCGGTCGAGCACCGCTGAGAGAATGATTCTAGAGAGAACGACTCATTGCGTTTCACCCTAGCGCATTCCTCAGGGTTCTCTTCAACGGCTTTGCCCAGCATCTGAACATCTCAACGACCACTCCCCGCGGCCCAAGACAGAGCCAGCCAAGGTATCCTATCTATATCAGTCATCGCTAATCCTCAACGGCCTCATGGCTTGCGGTAGAGTTTGTCCGAGGACAGTAAGCAAGTCACCAGGCCCACCAGGCTCTCGCCAGACATCGGCAGGTGATCACGCCGTCGTGGGCTGTGCCATCGTGGACTTCACACCGCCGAAGAGGTTGGGCCGGGCATGAGATGTTGGTGTAGGTGGGCCGGATGCAATACTCGACCTGTTACTCAAGTGTTCAAGACTCGTGACCAATCCCCCAAATCTGCGTAGCTTCTACCGGATAGATGGCTACACCATGTCTATGACAGCGGCAGAGAATAAGGTACACTTTGATGCCCCGAAAACCTGCTGGGTTTCTGCAGTCGCTGTCAGTGACAGAGCGCAGGGTCTTGGCGGCTCCAGACATCCCCCGCATGAGCAAGGTCTAGCGGCCGCCACCTTTCCGAAGGAGGTGACCACCTCCCCCTCGGTGCACCATTCTGCGACCACTCGAGTGCCTCGTGCCGGTGGATCTTACCTGGTAAAGTGGGCTTTCTTTGGCTTGGTGCATGGCCTCGCCGCCATCGCCAAACCGCCCGGCTATTCAGCGCTGCCATCCTCTGCGTCGATGCCCTGTCACTCCCTCTTACAACCCTCACTTTTGGCCTTGTTCCTTCGTTCATAATCAATCGCTTGTCGCGGACCTTCTGCTTGCCTGCTGCATCCTTCTGGTCCTTCGATATTCGCTCAGGCGACACCGAATTCCTTCTGAACATGGCAGTGCGCTGCTGTACATGAGCGGCCTTTTCGAGAGCTCGTTGCTCGTTTTCTTGAACATAGATTCTCCCTTTCGAACCCCGCCATCATGGCCCGATTGACCCCCCGACTGTCCGCGGGTTGCCTCGCATTGCTTGCTTTGGCTTCCTCGTCGACAACCCTCGCTGCGGCTACACCTCCGAATGCGCCCAAATCATACTGCCCCATCTTCTACTCCGAATCCCGGCCGCCCTCCGATTGCGAAGCCAAACAACCGGCGACCTTCCTCCAGACGCCCCAGTCTGCGAAGAGGGCTTCCGTAAACACAGAAAAGATAAAAAATGAGCCCCTCGAGGCTGCATTTGAGGCCTTGACGGTCATGCAACATGACTTCTTTGTGCCTGATCAAGGGACGTGGCCTGCAGCCATCGACTGGACTGCTGCGGTCATGGAGACGATGCTCTCAGGTGCTCTGACTTCATTGTCGCAAGCATTGGCTGCCCTAGACTTTGGCGGAAACTCTGACAAGGGTGCCAAACGAAACTTGATAGACACATTCTTTACCCAACTCGTGGCCTCATATTTTGGCCAAGATGATGTTGCAATTCGTCACCAGGTGAGTTTTCTCCAATATTCAAAGCTAATGGAGCAAGCCAGGTCTGACTAGCTCACAGGCTTTCGACGATATTCTTTGGGTTGTCCTCGGCTGGGTTGACGCGATGAAATTTATCGACATCCACACCGAGTTATTCTATCCTCGGCCTGGGCTCAATGAGAGCGCAACGCCCGGTCTCGGAGATGCGCTTCAGAACGGCCCCTGGCACGGCCAATTCTGGATTCCCTCTTTTGCCCATAGAGCTAGAATCTTTTGGGACCTGGCATCCAAGGGCTGGGACACTCAACTTTGCGGCGGTGGCATGAACTGGAACCCTAGGTTGGAGCCTTACAAGAACGCCATCACCAACGAGCTATGGATTTCAGCCTCCATCCAGATGTATCTCTGGTTCCCTGGGGATAACAACACGACCCCTTGGATCAACAGCGTGAGTGGTGTGAAAGCCACGCGGGAACCCAAGTACCTTGCTGCTGCCATTGAAGGCTACAAGTGGCTCACTGGCGTCAACATGACCAATGAGGCTGGCCTGTACGTTGATGGCTATCACGTCGATAGGTCCAAGCCTGGGAATACAAACTGTGATCAGCGCAGTGAGGCAGTCTTCACTTACAACCAGGGTGTTCTTTTGACCGGCCAACGAGGTTTATGGGCTGCCACAGGAAGCGCGACGTATCTCGAAGACGGTCACAGACTGATCCAAGCCGTCATAAAGGCATCTGGCTGGGATTTGGCATCTGACAAGCCAGTTGATGACCTTTCAAACCTTCCTCCGGGATATCTTCCCCCTTGGCGGGGACTAGGCCGCGGCGGCATTATGGAAGACCGATGCGATGCCAGCGCAACCTGTTCGCAAGATGGACAAACCTTCAAGGGCATCTTCTTCCATCATTTTGTCGCGTTCTGCCAGCACCTCGACCCAGCAGATGTCCAGCAGGGCATGACTGTGAATGTGCAAGCGTACGAGCGTATCAAGACGGCCCATGGATCCGCGTGTCAGGCGTACTCAAAGTGGGTAGAGCACAACGCAAAGGCGGCTCTCCTGAGCAGAGACCGCGAGGGCCGGTTCGGCACCTGGTGGGGTGCAGGCATCTTCCAGGGCGTGACACCGACGATGGAGACGGACGGCATCCCTGACAACGAGCCAAACGTGACTGATTACCGCAACTACGGACTCCCGCATGATGGCGTCTGGGCCAACGGCAACCCAGATAAGGTGTGGGCACCCAACGGCGAGGCGAAACGGAACCAGACAAGGAGTTATGTGCTGGTTGGTGGCCAGGAACAATCTGGACAGCAAGTGTTAGATCACTCAAATGGACAGGGACCGCGAGAAGATGCGGACGTAGACGGAACCGAGCGGCGAGATCCCGCTGCGGCGACGGCGGCGGCGGGTACGAGCGGCGATCCGAACGACCGCGGGAGGGGTAGGACCCCCGAGACGCAGAACGGCGGCATGGCCCTCATGCGGGCCTGGTGGGAGCTCTCCAAGGGCACTCGCGAACAGCAGCGCGCTGGACGAAGATGAAGTCACGAAGTATTGGATAGCACATTGCCTTCTTTTTGGGCCTATGAAGTATAGATGAGTACCGTTCAAACGCATGCACAGCCGCCGGACGGTTTAAACGAACGGCCTCCTTACTTTTTGGACACATCTGCATTGCAGTTTACCCCCCGGCGCTAGCTACACCTGTGATTTCGTGCGTCAACGTGCTTTAACGTGCTTGCTGCATCGTCGATTCTAATCGGGCATCCCGTATCGTTTCTTGAGATTACTCTGACCGCGCACGCTGCCTCCGCGGCGGCCCCTTGTTCTGAAGGAATGCCTCTGGCGCTGACACTAGCTCACCACGCCCACGCGATTGGTCCAGCAGCCGAGTGCGAAAAGCTGACGTCCCTCGCAGAGGTCTCCCGTGGCTGGTCGAGCCCGACTCTCCATTGTCTGCTGGCGACCGGGGTGCGCGACTGGACGCACCCGGCAACTCGGTGCCGGCGGGCCCACTTGGTTCGCCGTGGCTTGGCAGCGCCCTCGCCCGCGCCTCAGTGCGGTCCTCTGGGGTCGCGGGACGCTTTCGAATGGGTTTCCCAATCGGGAGGTTGATGGCTTTGGAGGGCGGCGGCATCATGGCGTTTGGGTCTGTTGTTGAAGGGAGGTGGGATGTATAAAGGATGACGATGGGCACCGACGATGGTGACTTTTGGGGGCATCAACATCAGCATCATCGTCTTCGATAGCTTTTATACTCCTCTACGCAAAATCATCAAGCAACTCTTCTTCTGAGACGCTATTCACTGCCTGTCATCACACCGTGACTGCATCACGCACTTATCCCACACTTCACTATAACAAACCCCAACACACAAAACCACAAATGGGTCTCATCACCGGCCTCGTCTCAACAGTCGTCCACGTCGCCGCCGGCAGGAACCCCTACGGCCACAACCACAACCAGCAGCCCATCGTCACAACCGCCGGCTACGCCCCCGCAGGCCCCTCCGGCTGCAACCACGCCGGGCCCGGCGGCCAGCCGTGCGGCATCTGCTCCGTAGCCCTGCCCTTCGGCAAGGGGCGCCAGCAGAAGAGAGAGCGCCGCGCGCAGAGACACGCCGCCAAGGCGCAGCGCTTCTCGGGCGGACGGTACCCCGCGTACGTCCCCGGCGGGATGCAGTACCAGTACCAGCACCAGCAGCAGTACGTCGGCGGACCGGAGGTGTACCGCGGCGGCAATGTGAGGCAGGAGGAGGGCGTTTGGGAGGAGAGGAGGAGGGCTTCGACTGGTGCCGACGACGCGCCGCCGGCTTATGAAGAGGGAGAGTCGTCGAGGGTGATGGCTAGGAGGAGTGTAGAGGTTCTTGGAGATGGTGATGAGAAGCATGAGTTGGAGTAGAGGCTAGGCTTACGACGCTGTTTCCATAAGTAGTCATTCGGCGAGCGAGCACGGCGTTGGTTAGATTGGGTTCAATATCATTCCTTGGTTCATTTCACCTTTTATTCTTTTCCTTGCTCGATCTTGTCTACTCCACAGATGCCCAGATGCTGTTCGTGAATGCTGATGTACAATGGCGGCGCCGGGGGTGTTTTCACCAACCGTCCTAAACCCCCTGCCGACTTTTCCCCCTGATGAAAGACCCCGGGATTTCCGCCCTGGTTGGTGACTTTATTCCTCGTCCACATGATGCGAAAAAAGAAGCTCGCTTCCTCCCTAAGATATGTATGCGGTTATGGAAAACAACAGTCTACCTCTGGCCAGCAAGGCGACGGCTCTGGACCTCGCCGAGGGCCTTGGAGCCGCTGAGGAAGATGGAGACGCCGACGATGCCGATGACGGGCAGGGTCTGGAACAGGTTCCAGGTGCTGTAGTAGAGGAAGAAGACGCCCTCCATGGCGACGATGGAGCCGAAGAAGGCGGCGTGGGAGATGGGGGCCGCGCCGAGGGCCTTGGAGAGGTGGTTGAAGTTGGCGCCGAGAGAGAGCCACTGGGAAGATAGTCAAGTCAGCACGTATGGTCATGGACAGTCGTGGATAAGGATGAGAACGTACGCCCACGAGAAGAACGGGGATCGTGGCCAGAACGGCCATGACAAAGGCCAGCGAGATGATCTTGGGAGGGCTGCGGGGGTCCTCGCGGAAGATGTGGTGGATCTCGGACTGCTTGCCGTAGCGGATGGGAGCGTCGTAGGTCGGGGCAGGGGCAGAGGCGTCGCGCCTCACGTCGAGGTCGAAGACGGTAGTGTCGAGGGCCTTGGAGGTGCCGAAGGAGCCGATGACGATGCTGGCGCGGAGGGGCTTGGTGGCCAGGAGGTGCTGGACGGGGAGGTCTTTCTGGGCCTGAGGAAGATGTAAGCGGGCTGGCAATGCGATCAGGAAAGAGCCGTATACGTACGACATCAACGACGCCGCGGCCGTTCTCCTTGAGCTCCAGAGGGAAAGGAGCCTCGAGGCCACTCTCGGTCTCCTTGAGGATCAGGAAAGCCTGGTGCGGGCGCTTGGCCTTGTCACCCTCCTTGGCAGTGATGATGACCTTGAGGGAGTCCTTAGCTCCGAGAGAGAGGGCATTCTTGAGAGGAGAGGTTGCGCTCAGCCTGTCGATGTGTCTCGTCAGCAATTGGGTCGAGATCGAGGGTATTCCGTCGCCCGCGAGAGCTCCAGCACCAGCTTCACTTACTTCTCCTTGGTGGCATCCTTGCCCTTTCCAGAGACAGAAACGGTGGCACTGTCAAATCCCCATGATGAAGCGGCCTGCGCGGCACCGGCCGCAAACAGCGCGAGGGCTGGCGTCAAGGAGTGGAGGAATCGCATTGTTGCTGGTTGGGCGGCTTGTCTGTTGCAGCTTGTAGCTGGAGCTTCGACATCACCAGGTGCTGCTGCACTTATGGACAGCTTTCGTGTCCATTACGAACTACCGATTGGCGCACGGGCCAGGCACAGCGGGACCCTTGTACGGTGTTTGTGTCACCAGCACTGTGCCGAGCACTGTACATGGAGGGCAAGGTGAAAGCAACGTCGATGAAGATCGGGATGTATAGTTGGACACACATTTTGCTGAATAGATTGAACTTAAATGCAAGTACAATGAATTCAGCTGATGATTGACCATTTTGAGACCATAGCCCCGTGAACATCTTCCACTAGCTAAAAAACGGAAGGTTTTGGGAGACTTGCGATGGAGCCACTTGCAACTGAATATGCACATGATGTGTTTCTACAAAATGTTGCAAGAAAGTTTTATGCAGCTGGAATTGGAGCCTCTAAGCTCCGATTGAGAACGGTATCACCTGGTTGTACTGAGATATTGACTCAAATGCGACGGTCTATGCATGCATACGTCTCCAACACAAGCATATCTGCTTGCCAAGACTTCAAACCACGACTCCACCTACATGAACCAGAACTTGCTGTCTAAATGCCATAAAATTCAAAGCTCGTCATGAGCCGTCTCAGAATGCGCGATTTTCGGAAGAAACTCGTCAACCTCCATCCACTCAGCCGCGAACACCGTGATGATGCGTGCCCAATCACGAACGGTGGGCAGATCCAGGTGGTCGCCATCATCCGTGATCTTGTGCCAGACGTCGGGAAACGGTGTAGGAATGATGTGCAGAATCTCAACACCGCGCTCCATGAATGGCACATGGTCGTCCAGAACATACCCCTGACTCAGTCCGCCGTTCTTCTTGTTCTTGTCCACGAGGAAAGGGCGTTTCGGATCGGACTCAAGCACACCGAGCTTGCGCATGCGGTCTTCAATCTTGGCCATTTTCTTATACGCCCAGTGGGTAGAAGCAAAATATGAGGGGATTCGCGGGTTCGGGGCGCCCAGCAAGTCGATGAGGAGGAAAAGGCTGATGGACGAAAGTCCGGTCTTGTAGATCGAGTTTGGGTGGATTTCGGACTCCCAGCTTTGGGCAAGCGCCCTAGTTCATGTTAGACAATTCAACAGCAACCCTCGTAATGACAACATACCTAGCTCCGTAGAGCGAATCCGTATCGGTCCAAGAAACCCAAGCCTCCTCTCCGTCAAGAAGGATGATCTGGATTCCCTTCTCCTCCTCGAGTCCATTTCCAGCATCGCCTGAAGCCTCCATGGCCTTCCACTTCTTCACCAGCGCATCTTCGATGCTCCTGGCGGCGTGGAGCAGCATCGCACAAGGTGCCGCGCTGTCAATGGCTCCGATGAAGCCATCAGGATGGACCAGACTATCGTAGTGTGCAACAAGCGTCAGGCGCTCGACCTCGCCGTCCTTTGTCCAAGGGGGGTCGCGGCGGAAGATGAGGTTGGTGAAGGGTATGTCCTTGTCCCCCGTCGCAGGCGTCTTGGAGGTTGAGTTGTGCCACTCGATCGTCCACTCGGGCAAATGCGCGCGGAAGAAGTCGACAAAGTGCTGCTGCACCTTGGCCGAGCCGGGGGTGCCGGGGACGCGAGGGATAAGGATCGGCGCCAGCAGGGAGCCGGTATGGATATCGAAGCTGTCACCGCCGGAGGGGATCGCGCGGAGGGCCTCGTCGCCAAGCTCGGTGTAGGCCGTCGCGGGGGTGAAGAGCGAGCAGAGGACGAGGAGGATGGACCCAACGAGGGGTAGCTTCGGGAGGGAGGTCAACAGACCCATCGTGGCAGGGACAAGGTCGGCAGCAGCAGGTTCATGCTGCTGCTTCTCGCGGTCGGTGGAAAAGCAAGGTTTTGCTGTGTGTGCGTATGTGTCGCTCGGCGGCTTCTTGCGAGAGGAGCCGTCAGGTTGCGACAACCATGTTGGGCGGGGAGAAAGGTGTCAAGTGGGAGAGGAGACCCTGAGGTCGAAATGCGACTCAGGTCCACGCCGGGTCCATGTCCCCGCCAAAGGGCACCAGCGGACGGTGCTTGCTGGGAAATATTCCGATAGCGGCTCCACCCACGGAGTTAGACCCACCGTTCCGGCTTCCCTAATGGTGCTAGGCGATTCTGGGGTCGTCAAACTGCCGGGCGGACCATCTGAGCAGCCAACTCAATCATCAACCTCTTTTCAATGACAAGTGAGATTGAAATCCGTAATTACGTCTGACTCCAGAGGATCAGACGTCTGCTTAATTCCTCGCAAAGTCCTAGGCCAATGAGGTATGCCAGTGTCGGCCGAACCAAGCCATCGGTTCGCACTCTAAACTCCAACGGACGAACCCCATCGCCTATCGCCGACAGCCAGTCAAGCCAATGGTAATCTTCGGCGTTAACCCATGGCTGCCATTCGCGGCGCTTACACCAATGGCGATCAGTGGCATCAAGCCTCAGTTACACCATAGCAGTCAGATTCTTTAGCATGAATAGAAAGGGATGCCAACAGTCACACAGGTGCTCTCAGACAGATTAACGCCGCTGCACCACCTCGTCTAAGAAGTAAGCAAAGTGAAGTTATCGCCGTGTGGCTTCACAAATGACTAAGACTTGGGATCTGACATAGCAGCCACAACAGCCTAAATGAGTTGCGCCCTTCTCATAGCCATGGAATGGAGTAAAATATGTATAAAAGATGATGGTTTTCCCTTAGAAAGTGAACTTCCCTGCATCATCTCTCTCACTTACAGCTCTTACCTTGTATACTCAAGCCAAGCTATATAACAAGCCTTGAATCTTTTATCAGTCAAACAGCTTATCGCAGACTACTCCTAGGAGCATCCTAAATCAAAATGGAATCTCCAGTCTGGTTCATCACTGGCGCCTCTTCAGGTTTTGGCTTCGAAATCGCCAAGGAGGCCCTCGCTCGCGGCCACAAGGTCATCGCGACCGCCCGAAACCCGTCCAAGATTTCTGCTCTCGCCTCCTCGGGTGCTGACCTGCTCCCGTTGGACGTTACCGCCGACGAGGCTTCCGTCACCGGCACCGTCAACAAGGCCTTCACACTCCACGGCAAAATCACCCACGTCATCAACTCTGCCGGCTACGTCCTCGATGGCACGGTCGAGGAGGCTGATGCCAAAGAAGCCTTCGATCAATTCAACACCAACGTCCTCGGCACCCTGAAAGTCTGCCGTGCCGCAGCTCCCCACTTGCGAGCTCAGGGGTTCGGCATCGTCGTCAATATCGGCAGCCTTGGCACCTGGGAGAGCTGCGCAGCCGCCGGACTGTACTGCGCAACAAAGGCGGCCGTGAGCAACCTGACGGAGGCCTTCCGCGATGAACTCAGCCCATTCGGTGTTGACGTCTGCGCGCTCGAGCCAGGCTATTTTCGCACCGGATTCCTCAATCCCGGCGCTCGCATCAAGGCCAAGGTAGACCTGGATGCGTACCAAACCGGCCCCGCTGGCAACTACAAGAAGTTGCTCAACGATGCAGACAACCACCAGCCCGGTGACCCAGTTAAGGGAGCCCGTGTTGTCGTGGACGTTTTCACCAAGTCTGGTGTTGCTGGGGGTAAAGAGATCCCCATCAGACTGGTTCTTGGTACAGACTGCCTGGCTGCGGTGCGGAAGAAGTGCCAGGAGACGCTTGCGTTGATGGATGAATGGGAGTCGATCACGACAACAACTGATTTTTAGACGAAGCACATGGTAGTGGGCTTTTGCTATGATGGAACATCTGAAAACTATACTTCGGGTTATCTTATAATATAATATGTCTCTACGATCATCTAAGGGCCTTTTTTCACGGTGTTAAATGGATGCTGCCATGAAATTTCAACTCATTTACTTGTTGGACCTTTTGGAACTGAAGACGCCCGCTGAACTTGACTTTTGGATGACCGTGTCAAGTTTCTGGGCCCTTGAAGCTCAATGACAAGAAAGGGAAAGTGATTCTCACGTGGTATCTCGTGTGTAAGTTGTGTGCTTGTTCGAAATTACTGGAAAAATAATGAAACGATTCCCGTCATCCAAGCAGGTAATTCTACTTCATTGAGCAAATTCAATACTTGCTTTTCATGCCCATTATCCTCCTTGTCTACTGTGTAAAGTCAAACTTGAAGATGCATCGCCGAAAATGAGCACTGCAGATAAACACTACAAAGGGCGTCACGCATGCGAATCATGGGCACCGATAAAATCCTTTGGAAATCAAGACGACAACACAGATTATTGACATTGAAGCACTGAGATTGATATTCTTGTCTCTGCTGTGATATTCAATGCATGATATATGCAACTTTTTGCGGTAAGGGTATGGTAAACATTGATAGAAATCGCATGTTCCACATCTTTTCCACGTAAGAAGGGAAGTATAACTCTACCGGAATGATTATGGTACTTCCGAAGCTATGAGACTTGATGTATGAATATTGTATCTGAAATATAAAACTGTTCTCTTGACTTTTATAGCTAATATTTTAGTCGAGTGCTGCGTAATGTTCAAAAGTAATCAATATTATTTGGAATGATAAGGTATGAGTGTAACAGATTAGGACGAAGATGCGCATTCTCGCATTTGAGAAAACGACAGAGAACACAGACACTAGCTATATCAAATTTACAAATCTACCAATGTTGAAACTCGTTGGGCGGCCTAATGCCTACCCATTTGAGATGGAGACAAGCTCGGGCAAGGTGAAGTATCTTCTTAAGGTATAAAGAGCAGTTCTTCGCTTGATATCGCCTATAAACTCATTATTGCATCTCACCAAGAACTCAAAATTCAACTCCTTTTGATGTTGAACTTTGAACTTGGGAATAACAAAAGAAACGAATGAGCGTTTAGGTAGACCTAAAAAAAACCTTATATTCGACACATACATGATTGACTTATTCGTAATTTGACATCTATCTGACAAAATCTTTGACGTTGCGTGGTTCATCACGTCTGAATGTACGATTATGCGTCCATACACGAGGACTCTCAGCGG